TAAATTATAGGGTCAATTTTGATTACTTCAAGAATTTAATGGATTCATGCACTAAGGAATTTTATGATAATTTACTGACGTATTTTATGCAATATGACCTTTCATCATTTAACGTACGAATCATACCGATGACTGAAGCCAAACAAGATTTAATAGAATTATGTCAACAAATCCTTAGATGTATGGATAAATACACATTATGATGAATTGTGTGCAGGTATGACGTGTAAAAATGCTCTATTCTGCAAACCATCAGACATGAAAGACAAGAATTTCCAAATGAGCATTAAGGATAAATGTGATAGGAAACAGATAAGAATAGATGGTAAACAAACATGGTGTTATGTTTTGAAAGAAGAAATGAAAGGATTATATAAACAGGTTGAACCAAACGATAATGAGGATTCATTTACTGACGATGAAATACCTGTAAATGAGGCAGTATAAAGTATGATTGGAATTTATTTTTGCATTAATCCTGCTGTGTTGTCTAAATGTCATGTTGTCATCATTTTTTAAAGAAGTTAATTAACCTGGTGACACATGGTGACATGGTGACACCTTCAGTTCTTCAAAAATAATTTTCGTAAATGTTGTCAAAATGTCATGTTGTCATCATTTTTTAAAGAAGTTAATTAACCTGGTGACACATGGTGACATGGTGACACCTTCAGTTCTTCAAAAATAATTTTCGTAAATGTTGTCAAAATGTCATGTTGTCATCATTTTTTAAAGAAGTTAATTAACCTGGTGACACATGGTGACATGGTGACACCTTCAGTTCTTCAAAATAATTTTCGTAAATGTTGTCAAAATGTCATGTTGTCATCATTTTTTAAAGAAGTTAATTAACCTGGTGACATGGTGACATGGTGACACTGAAAAAAATTCATTATTTTGCTGAATTCAGCAACAAAATGAACGAGGTCAGGATGTATGTAAATACCTTTGAATTCATTTATAACGCCCTTAGTAAGCTCATAAAATGCTTGTTTTGAGGTCGAGCCACTTTTGGCTCCACCGTATTCGTTCAACCAAAACTCAAGAATTTCCTGCATGAATTTTGTATAAAAAGCAACCGCCGGAATTCCGGCAGTTGCTATATTCTTCACAAAATGCCTTATAATACTCTTCCCAGGACTTATTTTCCAACAACTTTCTAAAGTCTTTCCTAAACTGACGCGCAAAGCGCCAAGATGGACTCAAGAGCCCTCCTGACTGACTGACGGCACAAAGTGGCTTAACGAAAACATTAATATATAAAATTCATGAAAACATGAGGGTAGAAATGAGGTTAGATATACCCATCTACCCTAAAAATTATTTTTGTTCATGGGCTATGCCCCGCGCTTTGCATCTTTATGTTAAAATAAATGGTACCATTAATGATATCATGACTGTTCTCGTTCATGTCTGATTTACATCTAATGAAAAAGTTTAGAAGAATTTTCTTATTCTTTCTGGCATATTTTTGTCTTTCCAGTACTCCCGCTCTAATGGTCCAGATGTGTTGGCTTCGACTCTCTCAAGTTCTTAGATGGCTTACTTCTCAAAGCTTCTGAGCAAACACATTCAAATTCATGATGTTAGAAAACATGTGAGAAAACATGTTAGATCTAACATGCTAACATAAATAATATTTTTTAGTCATTTACACTCATTTCGACATGTAGTCATGACAAAGTGTTTACGAAGAAGTCTTGACAAAGTGTTTACGAAGAAGTTTATACAAAGTGTTTACGAAGAAGTCATGACAAAGTGTTTACGAAGAAGTCTTGACAAAACATATACGAAGAAGTTTATACAAAGTGTTTACGAAGAAGTTTATACAAAGTGTTTACGAAGAAGTCTTGACAAAACATATACGAAGAAGTCATGACAAAGTGTTTACGAAGAAGTCATGACAAACTGTTTACGAAGAAGTCATGACAAAGTGTTTACGAAGAAGTCTTGACAAAACATATACGAAGAAGTTTATACAAAGTGTTTACGAAGAAGTTTATACAAAGTGTTTACGAAGAAGTCTTGACAAAACATATACGAAGAAGTTTATACAAAGTGTTTACGAAGAAGTTTATACAAAGTGTTTACGAAGAAGTCATGACAAAGTGTTTACGTTTAAGTTCGACAAAGTCTTGACAAAGTGTTTACGTTTAAGTTCGACAAAGTCTTGACAAAACATTTACGATGAAGTCATGACATGAAGTCTCTGAGGGTAGAAATCGTGGTAGAAATCGGGGTAGATCTAACATGCTAACATAAACATTATTTTGGGTCATTTACGCTCGTTACGAAGAAGTCATGACAAAGCATTTACGAAGAAATCTTGACAAAGTGTTTATGTTTAGTTTCGATGCAGTTTGACAAAGTGTTTACAATGAAGTCATGACAAAGTGTTTACGATGAAGTCTTGACAAAGTGTTTACGTTTAAGTTCGACAAAGTCTTGACAAAACATTTACGATGAAATCTTGACAAAGTGTTTATGTTTAGTTTCGATGCAGTTTGACAAAGTGTTTACGAAGAAGTTTATGCAAAGTGTTTACGATGAAGTCATGACAAAACATATACGTTTAGTTTCGATGCAGTTTAACATAGAGTTTACGTTTATGTTTGACATAGAGTTTACGTTCATGTTTAACATAGAGTTTACGTTCATGTTTGACAAAGTGTTTACGTTCATGTTTGACATAGAGTTTACGTTCATGTTTGACATAGAGTTTACGTTCATGTTTGACATAGAGTTTACGTTTAGTTTCGATGAAGTCTTTACGTTCATGTTTAACATAGAGTTTACGTTTAGTTTCGATGAAGTCTTTACGTTCGTGTTTAACATAGAGTTTACGTTTAGTTTCGATGAAGTCTTTACGTTTAAGTTTAACATAGAGTTTACGTTTAGTTTCGATGAAGTCTTTACGTTTAAGTTTAACATAGAGTTTACGTTTAGTTTCGATGAAGTCTTTACGTTTAAGTTCGACAAAGTCTTTCGTTCATGTTTGACAAAGCATTTACGTTTAGTTTCGATGAAGTCATGACAAAACATATACGTTTAGTTTCGATGCAGTTTGACAAAGTGTTTACGATGAAGTCATGACAAAGAGTTTACGTTCATGTTTAACATAGAGTTTACGTTTATGTTTGACATAGAGTTTACGTTCATGTTTGACAAAGTGTTTACGTTCATGTTTGACAAAGAGTTTACGATGAATTTTTGACAAAGAGTTTACGTTCATGTTTAACATAGAGTTTACGTTCATGTTTAACATAGAGTTTACGTTCATGTTTGACATAGAGTTTACGTTCATGTTTAACATAGAGTTTACGTTCATGTTTGACAAAGTGTTTACGTTCATGTTTGACATAGAGTTTACGTTTATGTTTGACATAGAGTTTACGTTTAGTTTCGATGAAGTCTTTACGTTCATGTTTAACATAGAGTTTACGTTTATGTTTGACAAAGTGTTTACGATGAAGTCATGACAAAGAGTTTACGTTCATGTTTAACATAGAGTTTACGTTCATGTTTGACAAAGAGTTTACGATGAATTTTTGACAAAGAGTTTACGTTCATGTTTAACATAGAGTTTACGTTCATGTTTAACATAGAGTTTACGATGAAGTCATGACAAAGTGTTTACGAAGAAGTCTTGACAAAGCATATACGATGAAGTCATGACAAAGCATTTACGAAGAAGTTTATACAAAGTGTTTACGTTTAAGTTCGACAAAGTCTTGACAAAACATATACGAAGAAGTCTTGACAAAGTGTTTACGATGAAGTCATGACAAAGTGTTTACGAAGAAGTCTCTGAGGGTAGAAATCGTGGTAGAAATCGGGGTAGATCTAACATGCTAACATAAGCATTATTTTGGGTCATTTACGCTCGTTACGAAGAAGTCTTGACAAAGCATTTACGAAGAAATCATGACAAAGCATTTACGTTTAGTTTCGATGCAGTTTGACAAAACATTTACGAAGAAATCATGACAAAACATTTACGATGAAGTTTTGACAAAACATATACGATGAAGTCATGACAAAGCATTTACGATGAAGTTTTGACAAAACATATACGAAGAAGTTTTGACAAAGTGTTTATGTTTAGTTTCGATGAAGTTAGTGTCTATGTTATACAGTAATGTTAGTCATGAATGTTTGTCCTAAGTGTTGGCGTTAGTGTTGAAAAATAATGTTTGTCCTATATGAAGCCGTACAAGCGTTTGAATTTGTTTATGAATAAAATTACACTCTTGTTTTCTGTATCTATCATAGAAACATAAGCAGCACCTGTTTTTGTAAAGTTTATATGAAGTTTTCGATAGTTAAGACCTGTATAATAATAGAATGCGTCTTCATTCTCAACATAGTAGTAGAACTCAAACGAATGCTTACCATAATCTGTTATTTCAACAGCTTCGTCAGATATTTCATCAACGAACTCATAAACTATATCGCCATACTTGCTTTTATTTCTATTGTTTTCAGATCTAGAACACCAACGAAGGTTTGAGATTCTGTTGTCCGTTCTATCATGATTTATATGGTCTATTTCTTTCAAATTGTTTGGATTTTCAATCCACTGTTCTGCAATAATTCTATGCTTTAAATGCATTTTGTTGTTTAAACTAAGCACAATATAACCATAATTATTTAAGCATTCACTCATAATATGTTTGTCTTTCTTTCGACGAATAGTAAAAGGATATGTCGTACAAATCTCATAATCTTCATGATTTCTCAATGTTTCCCATTGAGTTTGTTCCCCTAACGTTCTCATTGACGTCCTCAATATCTTCTTCCTCACTGAACTCGTCAATATTTTCACTAGCTCCTTCTGTAATGTTTTCATCGGCATTGTCATTGACTTCTTCTGTAATGTTAGATGTTGTTGTTTCGCTCATGTTCTTTCACTAATGTTAAAAGTTATGTTGTACGAATTTTGAACAGAATTTAGAGCAGTTATGAAACAATGAAGTATTTTTACGCTATTGAAAGGAACTATGAGAGTGAAGTACATGACAGCAATGACAAAAGGAACTAATATCAAACCTAATGAAATCGCTCACGAGGACATAGAGCTTAACAAGTATTTTGTGGAGTATCTTATAAGTGAAGAGTATGTAAGACCTTACTTCATGTTTGACAGCATGAATGAGGATGTTATTTCATGGTTAAAGAATATAAGCAATGTTTTCGGTAAGTACGTCATAGATGACAAAGGTCTTGTTGTATTTTATGAGACAGCAATACGAACACAGGAACTAATGGATATTATGCACTCAACAGCAAAGAAAGGATTTAGTACTATTGGCATGAATGAACATTGCAGGAATGACATATACAACCTATGCTCACGAAAGCCTTACACAAAAGCAATACAAATGATAGAACATAAGTGTCTAAGGTCAGCAAATGAAATCATTACTGTCAGTGGTTATGAAAGAACTGTTAGCAAAGATGAGTGGAAACAGCTATTCATATTAAGGAAGGACGTTGTTGAACTAGTTAAACCTGTTGCACAAACATTGTTTCAGATAAGACCAGCAATGACTAAGAACCCTTTGACCTTAGTCAATGAGACCATAGAGGTTGAAGATAATGACATGAAAGAACTAGGAATGAATGAGAGAAGTTGTGAAGGATGTTTGAGTCAAAACACATGGTTCTTCAGAGCTGTTAAGAAACTTAGTAAAGAACGACAGAAATATTTTATAGAGAAGTATTGCAAAGGATGTGTAAATGAATTGCTTGAAATAGAACTTAGAGACACTTTCACACTAAAGGACTTGAGGAGAAATAAGTACATGAGTGAAGAAGGTATTGACATAGCTAGTGTTATAAATGACTTAAGAAGATGTGTTGTTGTTATTGACGGAGCACGAATAACATATCTAGTGAAAGATTATGATGGAATACGAGACACAACAACACTTGTGTCAGTAGATAGCAAGGAATTCAATAAGCTCATGAAGAGTGTTTATGTAGGACGTATTGAAGAGAAGGATGTGAACGCACTGATGATTTATGAAGCGGGTCAGAACAAGAACTATCTTATGAAGTCAGGCATGAGATTCTTTGACGAAAGAGATGACATTTACAGCTATTTCAGAGGATATGAGTATGAGGTACTGAATGAAGTAGATGAAAGCGTTATTGAAGGATATTTGAAACATGTTCACGATGTCATATGTAATGAGGATGAAGAGCTTTATGAGTATGCTTTGAACTGGTTCGCCTACATCGTTCAAAATCCTTGTGGAAAGACTGGAACAGTACTTTTGTTAACAGGAAAGCAAGGAACTGGTAAGAATGTACTTAGTAATGTTCTATGCGAGCTCATTAGCAAGTACGCCAACAATAATATAACGGCAATAGAGAATGTGGTTGGTAGATTCAATGCTGCTATTGAGAACATGAAGCTCATCGTATGCAATGAACTAAGCTCATGCGATACGTCTAAGGTCATGAACCACGACGCACTAAAGTCAATAGTAACAGAGACTCAGTTGGACTTAAATCAGAAGTGTCAGCCAGTAAGAAAGATAGAGAATGTTTGTAATATCATCATGATATCTAACAACTTCAACTCAGTAAAGATTGACAAAGACGACAGAAGATTTGTTGTCATTGATGTAAGCAGCAGATACAAAGGAAATTACGAATATTTCTCAAATCTCATTGAAAGCTTTAATGAAGAGTTTTATTCAAACTTACTGACGTACTTCATGAAGAAAGATTTAAGTGAATTTGATGTAAGGAAGATACCATTCACCAGGGCTAAACAAGAACTCATCGAAATGAACAAAACACCTTACCAAATGTTTTACGAGGAGTTCTATGAAAAGTTTGTATCCGGATGGAATTGTACAGAGTGCTACAGAAGATATAAAGAATTTGCGAAGGAGAATGAATTCTTTGCATGTAGTTCAAATGTATTTGGTGGCAAGATGAGAGAATTTGTGAAGAGAAGTAGAAAGCGAGACGGTTCTGCAAGAAGTTATATTTATGAAGCAAGTATGATATTAGAAGGTCGTGGAAAGAAAGAAACAGTGAATTATGAGGAAGTGCTTGAAAAATTCATGGAGTACATGGGAAGCAATATAACATACAACAAAGACATATACAGTGAGTTTAAGTACTACTGTGAACAGCATGAGATTGAAGTAATGAGTAAAGGAGACTTTGAAACGCTTATGAAAGACAGTAAGGAGGTCGTTCATGAGAACAGTGTTGAAATAGTTCATGAGAACAGTGAGGAGGTCATACATGAATGCAATGATGAAATAGTTCACGATGTCGTTCGTGAAGAAGCCATTGCAACAAAGAATGATATAAAGGATTTCATAGAACTTAACAAGGAGGAGTTTAAAGAAGGCTATGAAGTGAAAAGATGTGAAGAAGATTTCTTGGCGTATTTGAAGAAAAAGAGACTAAAGCCAATGGCTCAAAATAAGTTTCAATCGATGTTTGAAAAGAAACGTTTGAGCTATGGTGGTGTAAGAAGCACATATTACTTTGTTAAGAAGTGAGGACATTTATTTTTGTTGTTAGTGTTGGAGTTTGTGTTTGTTGTTAGTGTTTGTCATTTGTGCTGAAGTTAGTACTTGATGTTAGTGTTGGAGTTTGTGTTTGTTGTTAGTGAGAGAATAGATTAAATCATGAACTTTGCCATGGTCTCTGTCCCTAGTAGTTTTCATTAAGTTCTGGAAATAATGAAAGTCATAAACTTTGCCATGGTCTCTGTCCCTAGTAGTTTTCATTATCTCACAGAGTTAATGAAAGTCATACTTTCTATCAGATGAAGCATGCAGATGAACATAATGAAAGTTAGTGAGTTTGCCACGAGTTATGAATAAAATATTGGCATATTAGATGAGATAGCTGATGAAACAGATGAAGATAAATTAAATCTTGGACTTTGCCACACTCTGTCCCTAGTTCCTCAAAAATCCTTGACAATGTTGCTTAGAAATTTTGGTTCAAAACCTCATCTGATTTTAATGAATTCAACAGGATAGAAATGAGGTTAGAAATCGGGTTAGATATACTCATCTACCCTAAATTTATTTTTGTGCTATGTTTTCATACGTGTGGGAGTGGTGATATCATTATTTTTATGTAAATGACGAAAACTATTGAGATAACAAACTACAACGGTCATGAGTTCAAGAATTTGTTCTTCGTTCCTCGTGAAAATACATTCTATCAGATACGAGGGAGAAAGGGTAAAGTTAGTTTGAGCGTTTATGAAGGAATGAAGAATGGAAAGTTTATACAAGCATACGATACAAACGGTAAACGTGTTTCATTAGCTTTGTCAAAACTTACTAACATTTATTTTGACAGTGACTTTGACTCTGACGATTGGAGTGACAGCAGCGATACTGAAGAATATGAACTATTGTGTGAAGCACAGCAATGGGAAGAGTTGCAATACTTTTGTAAGTGAGAACGTTTATTTTTTACATTAGTGAGGTGAAGTGGTTGGCGGCTTTATAAATATTTAAGGTTAAGTTGGTGTTTGTGTTGTAAAATATACGTTAACGGTTTTGTAAAGTGTCAAAACAGCTAAGTGGTGTACGGAGGCGCGCAGTGCCTCTGTACACGACTTAGGTATACTAACTACTCACATTCGTGTTCGTAAAATAGAAGAAAGTATACAAGAGAATATTATGAAGTTTTAGGCAAACATGGCAAAATGTACACACTGCAAGCAGAAGATAAAACTACTATTGTCAGACCTCGTTTCAAACTTGTCAAAGTTCAAGGTGGTATACTTTCAAAGACAGTTCCTAACAAATATAAGACAACTCCACGAATATGCTAAAGAAGTTGAAAATGACGACTAAGCAATTCTATACCATGCGTAAACTGTCATGTAAGGTGGCATGTAGTCTTTACTTTGTCCCGTTGTTTGCGTATATCCTGAAACGAAATGTGTATGGTTTCCTTCTCCCTGAGTGTCATCCCAGTAACAATTTATAGCAAACTTAACGTCCTCTTTAACATCATATCCTTGACCTTTTGTCATTCCTGACCAATCCCAATATCTATGCTTATGCCAACCTGCTTGAGATGTAGTTAATCTTATGTAATGACTGTGTGCAGGTAAATTTTCACCTGAAATCGTTTTACTTCCACCTGTTTCCTTTGAAGAGTTTGCACAATACAAAAACCTGTCGACTATTTGTTCCCATGCACCAACACCAAACATTACTTGAGGACCTCTTGCATCCATAGATGTATAAATAGAACCTACTGGGTTCATTAAATCAAACATATGAGATATTATAGGATTGTCTCTTTTGAACTTAAAATATAGTGCAACTATTTCAGGTTTCTTCTGGTTTGTGTCAGAATATTTTTTATAATATAATCTTATGTTTTCAGGGTAGGTACAGTCTTGACTATAATATTTATTTCTGTCATCTGTATAATAATATACTATTCTCGTTTTTCTATGCATTATATCTTTTATATCTATAATAATCTAAATATAATGTTAATTTTTTGGGTCTACATGTGGTGTTCTGTCGTCATCTCCATAGTCATAATAATGTGGTGCTGGAGCTGGGTCAGGCAATGTCATATCTGCCATTTCATAAACTCTTAAATATTTCTTTTGTTCGTCTCCATATAAGTTTAAGTAGCAGTTGTTGTCTAATGGAACTTTAACTTGTGTACCATCATTCTTTTTATAGCTTACATACATTTCATTGTTATTTTTCGGAATGAGTTTATGCCGTGTACCATTTTTTAAGGACTGTACCAACTGCCATCTAAAATAGTTATTTTCTTCATTGACAGAAAAGTCACCAACAATAGTTTCAATATTTTTTGTTCCTATCAAACTTTGGTATATTTCATTGACATATGTTTTATCTGCTTTATTTTCAAGGCTAACGTTTAAGTCTGTTATTTCAGAAGATGTATGTGTATGTCCAACGTCACTTTTCCTGTTTAAGGTTTCTTGTAAGTTTGTAATATTTGCAATGGTATGTGTATGAGTCTTATTTGCTTTTGTCTCTAATGTTTCTTGTAAGTTTGTGATATCAGATATAGAATGTGTATGAGTCTTATCTGCTTTTGTCTCTAATGTTTCCTTAAGACTTGGTATTTGGTTAATATAATGTATATGAGTCTTTTTAGAATATTCGTTTTCAGCTCTTGTCACTTCACTTGACATTTTATTGTCAACATATGTTTTGTCTGCTAGTTCAGGATGAGTATGTTCTTTTGTTGCATAAGCATTGTTAGCTCTTTCTTCTTCTTTTGCTATTGCATCGTCTACATATTCTTTGTCAGCTTTGTTGTCAACATCTGCTTTCAAAAGAAGTTCATTTATAGGTTTCTCGTTTAAAGTTCCTTTTGTTGGATTTATACAGACAGTATGGTTCTTATTGTCTTGAAATAGAAACTCATCTGTTATAGGGTTTAATGTCAGTTTTAAGTTTCCTTCTTTCAATGACTCAGATATCTTAGAATAGTTTGAAAAGTTTGTTGTGTTCTTATTTAGAGCTTGCATAATGAGTTGTCGGTTGTGTTGTATTTCTCTCATAGACGCTGTTTCATTTGACATTTTTATTATAGATAAAATATGCTTCCAATAGAAAAAGAAAATTCTAGAGTTGCTACAACTAAACCATTAGATGAACTTTTTACTAATGTCGGTCAAAAGGTTGACATAGATACTATAAAGCATGAAGGCTATCGTTTTGACTACCCATTAAGATGGTTAAGAGACCCATCCGTCACAAAAGCTATTGGCTTTCGTAGAATGAAGTTTGTCTCACAAGTTCAAACAGGTTTTCCATTTATTGTAAGGTTTCATATAGATTATACATCTGAAGGGCAACGAAAAATGTGGGAAGAAATTGAGCTAATACAAGTTGACCTCTCATCTTCTCTACAGACTGCGTTAAAAAATATAGAAGATAAAATAAATTCATGTTATGCAAAATATGCTGATGAATATGCAAATACCGATAGCACACTTTATGTGAGAATTGTATATGACAAACAAAATTCACAAGTGTCATTTCAAATCTCCGAAGACAATCCAAATAAAGACGAACAAATATATACAGAATTCACTGCAATGTCATGGTATTATTTGCAAAGAATGTTAAATCAGAAAGTTGAACCTCCTTTAGCAAATATCTACAATCGATATGCAAGAGATGAACCATATTTATTTAAAGATGTTTTCGACCAAGATGCTGTGATAGTTCATGCTTCATTTTCTGGCGCCCAAAACTCTTTCTTATGCTTGGCAAATGACTTTTACGAAAAACCTACAAAGTTATACGAACCACCAAGTGGAAGTATTTCAGACTTTCAAGTATGGTTTACTACAGATGGAAGAAAAAGAATAATTCCATTATACCATGCGTTTTACTTAGAACTTAGTTTCATATACAACTACTATCGAACGGTAAAAATATAATTTTTTAATACGGTTGAGGTGTTGGATTTGGTTGCCAACTAGACTGTGGTGCAGGTTCAGGCTGTTGTATAACAGGAGCTTGCTCTTCTGGTTCAGGGTCTTTAGGTATAATACCAACGAACTGACCTACTCTTTTACCAATATTTTTGACACCGTTCCATACTCCTCTTCCGACAGATTTTATTCCATTCCATATACCTCTTCCAACTCTTCTGAAGAAGTTTCCAATACTACTGAAGAAACCCATTTTACTATATGTAAAAATCTAATGTCCGCCTAGTCTCTTACGTTTCCTGTTGAGTTCCATAGCATTCTTTAACTGGAGCTCATACATTCTGTTTCTCCTCTGGTAGAAAACATATTCTGGGTCAACTCCTGTGTTCGCGTCATCTGCATAAAGTTGTTTATATCCCACTTCAGGGTTTGTATAAAACTCTTTCCATCTCATATTTGCATACCATGGTGGCAAACCTAACGCAGCGTCATTTGACATGGCAGTTTGCATTTGTACATCTGTTGGCACTTGACCATAGTTTGCCATTGCAGTTTGTATTGTTGTAAACGAAAA